GTATGGATTGTGGTAAGAGTTGTATGAGCCCCCAATAAAATGATTACAAGAAAAAAATTATGCTCTCATTCTTTTGTTTCTTTCATACTACTGCATTAGATTCCTCAATACATTTCCTTTACATTACCATTAAGACACATCTCGACTCCAACGACTTTTCATGGCTTCTACTGCTACTACCTAGTCAAAGCCATGGTCACCTGTCATGTAGATTACAATGACCTTGACTGATTTCTCTTCTTCTCTTGCTCCATCCATCAATGTACACTTAACCAAGTACTCAGTGTGACTGATCCATTAGTCACTTTAAATCTCTCCTCTGTACGAAGTCTTCTGATTTGCTTGTCAGTTCACAATAGGAAAAGTCAGACTTTACGATGGCATGCAAGGCCCTACACGAATTGGGTCCCTGTGACCTCAGACTCCATCTCCTCTTATTCTCCTGTCCTTAACTCCATTCCAGTGATACTGGCCGTGTTGCTTTAAGAGGTACGCTCTTGATTCGGTTTGGTGTTCTTTCTGCCTGAAAACTTTTAATTCATTTGCATTACTTGTTTCCTCACTTCCTTCAACCCACTAATCCAATAGCCCTCAGGTATACTTCAACTCAGAGTGACCCTATATTTGCTTATGAAGATCCAGGACTGCAGCCTTCAGTATGGATTACAAAAGAAACGTAAAAAAACCCTCAAACCCCACAAGTGGACAAAGAGACATCATCATAAACCTTGAAGTTGTCAAGGATTTCATTTTGCTTGAATCTATAATCAGTGCTGATGGAAACAGCAGTCAAGCGATCAAATAACATAAAATATTGCATTGGGTAAATCTGCTGCAGCTCTTTTAAATGCAGAAAAGCCAGGATGTTACTTTGGAGGACTAAGGTGTGCCTGACCCACGCCATGGTGTTTTCGACAGTCTTATATGCATGTGAAAGTTGGACATTGACTAAGAAGACCAAAGAAGAATCAATGTGTTTGAATTAAATGACATACTGCACTGGCCAAATCTACTGCACAAGAATTCTTTAAAGTGTTGAAGAGCAAGGATGTCAATTTAAAGACAAAGGCGTACCATGGTATTTTTAATCAAGTCATATGCATGTGAAACTTGGACAAGGACTAAAGAATTGGTGAATTTGAATGATCGTGCTGGCAATGAATATTTAAACTATCAGAAGCACAATCTGTCTTGAAAGGAGTACAACCAGAATGCTCTTTAGAAGTGAGAATGGCAAGACTTAGTCTCATGACCTTTGGACACCTTATGTGGAGAGACTAGTCCTTGGAAGAAGACATCACGCTGCACGAAGGAGACAAAAATTGCAAGAAGACAGACTGATGCAGTCGCTGCAACAATGGAATCAAACTTAATTGTGATGATGATGTAGGACCAGGCAGTGTTTCATTCTGTTGCTCAGAGGGTCATTCTGATTGGAACGGACTTGATGGCACCTAACAACAACGTGGGCAAAATATTAAATGTTGTAGGAAGCATCAAAAAAAGGTGGAAGGTATACACGAAGTCACTTTATCAAAATAAATTATTCAGAATTCAACCACTTCAACATATAGCATATGATCAGGAACTATCGGTATTATTGAATGAAGAAATCCAAGCTGCACATGAGCAAAAAGCAAACAAAAAACCCCCAGCTCCATTAGCCGATGGAATACTTATTGAAATATTTAAAAAACTGATGCAGCACTGGAAGCCCTTGCTTGTCTTGATGCCAAGAAATTTGGAAGACAGCTCCTGGCCAACTTATTGCAAGAGATCCTCATTTGTGCACATTCCAAAGAAAGGTCACCCAAGGGGGTGGGAGGTAGAGTAGAGGTGGGGAGGGGGTAAAAAAGAGCTGATACCAAGGGCTCAATAGAAAGTAAATGTCTAGAAATGAATGAAGGCAACATATGCACAAACATGCCTGATTCAATTGATGTATGGATTGTGATAAGAGTTGTATGGCCCCCAATAAAATGATTTAAAAAATAATTGGGAAATTATAAAAAAATTAAAATTGCATCCAAGTAAAATTATGCTGAAGATAATCCAAAAATTGATGCAGCAGTTTATCAACTGGGAGCTGCCACAACTTCAAACTGGAAAGGACCTGGAACGAGGAACTTCATCACTGATGTCAGTTGGACCTTGCTTGAGAGCAGGGAGATCAGAAGGATGTTTACTTGTATTTCACGGACTATGTAAAGGCAATCAACTGTGTATCTTAACCAAGATGGGTGACATGGTGAGAAATGGGAATGACAGAACACCTAATAGTGCTCAAGTGGACCTGTATCAAGGGGCAACCGTTTACATGGAAGTCATGGTTTAAAATCAGGAAAGGTGTGTATCAGAGTTGTGTCCTTTCACCATATTCAATCTGCATGCTGAGCAAATAGTCCCTGAAGCTAGACTATATGAAGAATATGAGATCAGGATTGGAGGAGGGCTTATAAACAAGCTGTGATATGGAGATGACACAACTTGGCTTGCTGAAAGTGAAGATTGCCACCTTCAGGCTGGATTGCAACTCAAATGCAAAGAAAACCCAAACCCTCGCAGCTGGACCAGCAGGCAACATCATTATAAATAAATAAGAGATTGAAATTCATAAGGATTTCATCTTACTTGGATTCACAATCAATGCTCATGGAAACAGCAGTGAAGATTAACAAAGGACATATTGCATTGGGCATACCTGCTGCACAGTATCTATTTAAAATGTGAAGGAGTGAACCTGTCATTTTGAGAACTAGGGTAAGCCTGACCCAACCATGGTATTTACAATTGCCTTACATGAAAACTGGATCATGAATAAGGAAGACTGCAGAAGAAATGATGCATTTGAATCATGGTACTGGTGAAGAATACGGAAAAGTACCACAGACTGCCCAAAGAACAAAGAGAGCTATCTTGGAGGAAGTACAGCCGGAAAGAAGGCTCCTCAGATGCAAGGATGTGAAAATTGATTTCATATACTTTGTACACTAACAGGAGAAACTAAACCCAAGGAAAGGACATCATGCTTGTAAAGAAGAGGATCAGGTAACAAGATGACAACCCTCAATGAGACGGACTGACACAGTAACTGCAACAATGGACTCCGATATAATCAAAGTGTGGCTAAAGACTGTGCAGTGTTTCATTCTGTTGTACAGGTCACTATGAATCGGAGCCGGCGGGATGGCACCTAACAACATTCACTTAATTTACTTACTTCATTTACTTAAGTCATGGTGATTCCGTGGTTTAGCCCTCAAATGCTAACTGAAAGGATGGTTGGTTGTTCTAATTCAATGTGTCGCTATGTTGGAAAAAGATGTGGTAGTCAACTTTTGTAAAGATCTGCAGCCTTAGAATCCAAATGCAGCAAGACCTACTCTGTACTATAGGAGTGCTGTAAGTCAATAAGTATACTCTCAGTCATGAAGCTAAGTACTTACCATTTGCTATATTATTCACAGTAGGAGCCCTGGTGGTGTAGTGGTTACGTGTTGGGCTGTGAGCTATGTGGTTGGCCATTCAAAAACACCAGCAGCTCCGAGAGAGAAAGACTGGGCTTTCTACTCCCATAAACAATTACAGCTTTAGAAACCCACAGTGGATTTCCTGTGAGTTTTTATTGGCTCAATGGCAGTGAGTTTGGTTTTGATTTTTTCTAAAGTTCATAAAAACCCTATGATACAGGGTAGTGTTATCACCATAGGGAGTCAGTCAATCAACTTGGGAAGAATGTGTGTGCGTCAGGATAAAAACTCAAGTTTACTACACTCTTAAGTTTGTATTTTTTATCCTTTTACAAAACACATTTCTCTCCTATTTGGGTGAGAGAAGTAAATTCCAACCACTCATTCCAGAAACCAGAGACTAATTCTAAACTCCTTTCTATACCCTACCAATCTAACTGGCCATTAAGTTGAGTAATCATGGGCATATAATACGATACTTCAAGGTCTTTGTTTTTCATTATTAAGTGGGAGTAAAAGAGCTATCTTATAGTAATTATGAAAATAATAAATGGATAGGGTAAAGTCCCAACCTCTTTAGATACTAGTACTTTGTGTTTGGACTTCTTCTCTAGGAGGTTCCTAATATGCCTCTAAATGTTATATGTTAACACCCCCACCCCCACATGTACAACATACACATTAAAACATACTATCCCCTTGCTAGAATACCTTTCTTCTTGCATCAAATCTCTTGTTCTTCAATATCCATCTCAAATATAATCTATTCTGTGATGCTTTTCCTAACTACAAGAAACTCACGCCTTCCTATACTGGTCGCACTGTACTTTATCCATAACACAATCTACTGTAATTACAGTCTCACCTAAGCAGTGAGCTTTTGGAGGACTAGGGCTGTACCTTAATTATTTTCTTTCTAGTACCAGTGCCGAGAATAGTTAAGAAGCCATGGTGGCACTGTGGGTTAGGCACAGGGCTGCAAACTGAAAGGTTAGCAGTTCAATTCCACCAACCACTGTGTGGGAGAAATATGAGGCTATTTGCTACCATAAAGATTTACAATCTTGGAAAGCCTATTGGGTCACTAAGAAACAGAATCAGCTTAATGGCAGTGGACTTTTCAAAGAATAATTAAGTACTCAAAAGAAAGTTTGAATGAGTGAAATTTCCAAAAGCAACAATAAGACCACTTATACATGGGATCCCACCAGTCCTGTGTTTGGGTTAAATGAACAGAAACTTAATTTTGAAACAGAAGACAAAACAGTTGGACAACTCAGAAGGGTAACAGCATCAGGGAAAGACATCTTACTTATTGTGCTTCTAACAACGCATCAATTGGCTACTATTATTTCCCAATCTATTTTAATACTAAAAATAATCTGCCTAGTGACGTTATAATTTAGACAACACACGTAAGACTACTTACCTATTTTTTCTTCTAGTTCTTTGATTGAAGAGGTTTGATCCATTTTTACAGAGGATGATTTCTCTAAGGAATCCTAGATTTTTATTGGGAAACAAACAAAAAACAGCATTTACTTCATTACCTGGGATAAACTGGACATCCTATTAATCATGAAATAAATTCAGTATAAAAGCAATTTATATAAAAAGCTATTTTGGTAGTCGTCTTTTCCTCGGTAGATGTTGTAATACTGATCTCATGCAAACAGCATTTATTGCTTTTGTTTTGTTTTAAACTAGTACCTAAGGTCAAAATAAATAACTTGATATTTCAAATATGTAATGTAACAAGGAAAAGTTTTGTTTTTTCAATACCGTTAATCATTAAGTCTTATATCAAGATTTTAAAATAATCTAAACCCCTCTAAAATAACCAATGTAATGAATAGGATACGCAAATGAAAAGGTTGAATGCAATTCACAGAAATCTGCCATTTGAGCTTAAATGCTTAATATGAAGTCAAGTTGAAGAGTAAAAACATTTATATGTTCCCCAAATGTTAATATATATGAGGGGCACCAAAACGTTCATAGAAAAATTCCATAATCTTTTAATTTCATTTTTCCATGATTAATTTGAAGCCCTTACATATCAGAATATATACTTTTTGGTTTTACAGAACTACCAAGTATTACAGAACTAAATTTTCCTTCATGTCAACATAGTAGAAATAGAAAATTTAACCAAGGTTAAATGGTACCTTCAATAATGCCAACTCTGATCTTAGACCTTGCAATTCAGATTCTTTTTGTTCTAACAACAGCGTTAGGTTTTCCTGCTCCTTTATATAGGAACTTTCCTTTTCATCAAAAATCTCGTTTTTCCTATTTAACAACTGCTGTGATGCTTCTTCAATTTTATTTAAGAGATCCTGGTTTTCAAGTCTTGTGTTTTCATTAGCGTTCTTCATTTCGAGAAGATCCGACTGCAGGGCCTCTTTTTCTGACAAGGTTTCTCCCAGCTCTTTCTTTAGTAGTACTTTCTCTTGGTCATAGTCTAGTAGTAAAGACCGGAGTTCCTCACACTGAACTTCGTGTTCTGCTCGAGTGCACTTAATCTCGTTTTCCAATTTTAACACCCTTTCATCATACTGAGAAACTAAGTTGTGTTTTTCCTCATTCATTGCTGTTAAGGATGTACCTATTGCTTGTAGGACATTCATAACATCTTGCTCTGCATGTTCCTCAGAACGTTTTGACCCCATTTGTTCAAGAAAACCACATAACTGAGTTTGGATAGATAATTTCTGAAGTTGCTCATTTTCAAAAAGTTTACTTAAATGATCTCTCTCTTTAACTATTAACTGAAATTTATTTTCCAAGTCGGCAGCCTGTTCTTTAAGACTATCACCCGATTCTTTTTGTGACAGAAGAGCTTCCATATCGCTACTCAACTGGCTCTTTTCTGAACTCAGTCTTTCATTTTCCTCATAAAGGGATCTCACTTCAGATGACAACGTTGCCTGGTCTTCACGGAGAGTTTTCATTTGAACTGTAAGCTCTTCTAGTTTTTGGTCATTTCGGTATTTTTCTTTGAAAGTCTCTTCTAGGTCTTTTGTTAATTCATTTACTTTTTGTTTTAGTTCAGTGTTGGACTGGGTAGTTTGCTCCAATTTCTCTCTAAGTTCTGTAATCAGGCCTTCCTCCTGTTTACATTCTTTATAGAGATTATCCATCTCTTCATGAGAATTTTTCATTTTATTTATGAAACCATCTTTTTCTTCAGTCAGAAAACTTAATTTTGTTTCCAATTCTTGTAGCATGGTGTCTCTCTGATTGAGACTACTTAAATACTCTTCATTCTTTTCTTGAAGGTTCTTTATGGTTTCTTCAAGTTCTGGCACTAATTTTTGTTGAAACAATAATTTTTCCCTTTCCCCCTGGAGACAATTCACAGTTTCAAGAAGAGCATCTTTTTCATTGAAAGCACTTCTAAGCTTCTGCTGCAGCTCGTGAACATCGGATGCTTGCTGCTGCTTCATCGACTCAAACTCTTGACTTATTTTTCCAGCAGACTCCCCTAGTTCTGTTTGTAAAATTTCCATAATCTCTCGCAAACTCTCATAATTTAAGATGGCATCTTGCTTTTCTTGCTGTAGAGTTTCACATTGGTCCTTAAGACCCTGTATTTCAAACATTAATGCTAATCTTTCTTTTTCCGAGCCTGACAAAAATGTCTCATTCAGTTCTGTTATTTCTCGTTGATGTTGTTCCCTCAGCTGTTGTACTTCTTTGTTATGTTGTTCTGCAACACAATCAAACTGTTTATTTGAATCTTCTAGGTCAGATTTTAATTTTTCAATTAGCCAGCCCTGTTCTTCTCTAGCTAGTAATAGTTCATTAATTTTAAATTCTAAGTCTTCACGTTCATGGAAAAACTCATCCTTTGTATGCTGGGCGTCCATTTCAAGTTTTAATTTAAGATTATTCATGTAAGTTACTTCATCTTTCAGGATACTATGTTGAGATTCTAGTTCTTTTAGGGTATCTTCTAAGTGTTTGACCTTCTCATTCGCCACTTCTTCTTCCGATAAGGGCAGAGAACACCCCTGTTTTTCTTGGTTTGTATTTGAGGTTTTCCTTAAGTTTTCTAATTCACATTGGTACTTCTCCTGGATGCTCTTCTCATTTGCCTCACATTCTTTTGCCAAGTTCTCCTTCAGCTGATGTAACCTATTTACTTCTGCTTCATGATCCTTAGCAGAGGCTTCCATTTGGCCCAACAAGTCTTGAACTTCTTCTTGGTGTATAGCTTTTAACTGTAAGAGGTCTCCTTGTAAACTATTCATCTCTCTTTGGTAACCATGAGAATTAACTTCAATGACTTTTTGTAGATTACTAATTTCTTGTTTCTTTTCATTAGTGGTATCTTCTAACTGCTTTTGTAGACATAATATTTGCTCCTCAAAGGCCAACCTAATTTCCTGAATCTCATCTTGCAGTTTTTTAACATCCTTTTCAGAGTCATTCTGAAGTTTAAGTTGTTCTGAGAGCAGTAATTGTTTTTTCATTGCTTCTTCTACTTCCTTTTGCAAACTGTCTTTCTCTTCACCGTGTTTGGAATGTACTGCTGATAATTCAAGTTTCAAATGTTCAATTTCTTTCACATAGTTTATACGTGATTGCTCCAATTCCTTTTGCAGGTCTTCCGTCTTAGTCGCAGAAACCTTAAAAAAGAAGTATACATACATTACCTAAGCTTAAAAACACCTCTACCATCAGAAAACTAGCTACAGACTAGCTGGAGAGGCAAGAAATGAGCAGAGATGAACATTAGGGAAATTTGACGCTGAGACGCGAGAATTCTAAGTCAGTCCTTTCCAATCATAAAAATGACAATTGCCTATTGACAATTGGATATCCCTCATAGAAGAGTCATAAGAAAGGGACGATTCAACCAGGATACAGTATAGCACTGA